TCTGATGGAATTTCAAAGCTTTGCCTATGGAGATGAGGGCAGAAGAGGCCACCAAGGTATCAAGAGTCTTCACAGCAGTAGTCTTTATTCAGCTAGGGCAGATGGAGGCACCCTTGGGGAGCCCAAATTAGAGATTGTGTCTGGGGGAATTTTGATGAGCAGTTTTAATCCTGGAGAATCCCAGCAGGTGCAACTGAGAGCAGGTAGGTCATATGGGATTTGCAGAAGGCGTCCTGGGAGCAATCTTGAACATCTTTGAAAGAAAGCCTGGGAGTAGGGGGAAATCCTCTGTGAGGGCTCAGCTGGGTAAAATCTATGGTGTGGGGAAGGAGTTGTCTAGTCATGTTGTCTAGTGAAGCTACTTCAGAGACAAATCTGAGAGACTACCTGAGGTGACAAATCTTGGTGAGAAAGCAACCCCATGGATAAAGTCTGAGGAAAAGTAAGCAAGTAATGGAACCAGCCCAGCCTCCTGTGGGAAAGTAGAAGGAAAAGGTTTTGTAAGTTGTATCCATTGTTGGAAAAAAAAGTCTTTCTTTTATCTGGTGTTAAACCTCAGGACTAATTTTAAAAGGTGGTTTAGAGATTGATCCGAGAGGTGAGAGTCATTGCTGTCCATATGCTTTATTCTGTGATACCCATCCTACATTTTAACATGGTGTTATTTTAAAAGGGCAAGGGGAAATTTTGAGGCCCTGGATGTGGATCTCACTGAGGGAACACCTCAGAGCATAGGGCTAGGTGTTGTGATAAGAAAAAATCTGCGTTGATGAAGGAAGCCATAAAAGATGTTTAAAACTCTGAAGTATTGAAAAAGGTGGGAACATAGGGGGAGAAACAAAGATAAAATGGAAATTTAAGAAAAAGGGCAACTGAAAGGTGTAAAAGAAAATCTTTAACCATGAGGGGCCAAAAGGAAGGCAGGCTAACAATAAAAATAAAATGTGTTTAAGAAATAGAGTTTATAAAAAATACATTAATAAAATGTGTAAAGATGTGGGGCAACAGAAGGAATCCCATACAGGAAATACAGCAGGTGTGAAGAATTATCTTCGTCAACATTTATTCACTTCATCTGATGCCCAGAGGAAAAAGAAGCCCCATAATTTTTAGACACATTATCCACATTAGCAGTGTTATATTCAGGAAAATGTAGTCAAAGAGACACTTAGCTCATTTATTTTTACAATTTGACTGCTATAGCTTGTTATTTATGGTGCTGTCTCAAACATGGCATTTTTGCACACTATTGTTGAGAAAAGCTGTAGTCAGAAAGATGAAGCAGTGACATGTTAAATGATTGTGATGTGGGAAGAAGGCCATTAGGCTTTCAATGCCGTCATGTATTACATGGAAAGTAACAGTGGTTGATGAGCAGCGCTTTCAAAAATTTTTTATAAAGGTGCTCATATTCCTAGAAATAACTTTTTAAAATCTTCCTTCTGCTTATACTCACTGAGTTGCCCTGAGAGCTGTACCCTGGGTCTGCAGCCTGCTCTGGGATTCCAGTAGTCAGTGTTGTGAAGATGGGCCGGGTACCCAGCCAGGAGTCTGAGGAACAGAGAGCTGTGAGAGCTGTCCACCCCTAGCCAGCAGGGAGGGAGGAGGAGTAAGCAGTTACATGTTGACCTTGACATCAGGAGGGGAATATCTCTTTTATAAGAAAGTTCTCTTGGAGCAGTTCTAGTTTATGGCCAAGTGAAAAGTATGATGATAACTTAGGTTGTGCCATTGTCATGATATTTAAGCCCCATTGCAGGTTACTAAAGATTCTGAGCAATTACGCACTCTATAAAATGAACTGGGGTAGCAAGTACAAAATGAAACCTGACAGATTTCAGAAGAAACCTGAACCTTGGCATCCTGACAGTTATATAGTTCCTCCTGAGCTACAATAATTATTTTCTGCTACCTTTCCTTTTTTGAGAATTACTCCCAGCCCATCAGGGTTCACCCATATATCAGCACTGTCACTTATTTTAAAATTTTCAAATCTACTGCTTGCCTAGTTTCAGACTAATTGTGCATGTATCCCCCAATTTTTTTCTGGTGGGTTGAAGAGTGTTCTTGGTGCTCTGGCTCCCTCCCCTTGATTCTCTCCATCTGTGTGTGTGTGTGATTGCAGGTCCGTGGTCGCAGACTATTCAGGATGCTGGTGTGAATGAGCAGTGCAGCAACATCCTCAACAACAAGCGGTTTATGCTGGACATGTTGTATGCGCATAACAAAAAGCCTAAGGATGAAGAGGAGAAGGAGCTGGAGGCGAAGGAGGAAAAGAAGGAGACGGAGGAAAGTGAGGAGTCACTCACTAGCCTAGCCAGCAGGATCTCTATCCTTCAGGCCACGAAACAGGCCAAAGATGAAAGTGTCAAAAAGATGGAGATTGGAAATCTGGACAACCAAGGCAGCGTGAAAGCCTTTGCGGAAAAATTCAACAGTGGTGAGCTGGCCAAGGGGACAGCCGTGCCTGAGGATGAAATCAGTGAACAGGTCCCCGAGAAAACACCAGCACAGCCAAAGAAGGAATCTGACTACATCTGGGATCAGCTCATGGCTAATCCTAGAGAACTTAAAATCAAAGACATGGATTTTACAGACTTGGGGGAGGAGGATGATGTAGATGTGTTGGACATGGATATGGGTCCTGGGGACTCCCTTGTTCCCCCTCCTCCACCTCCACCTTCTTTTCTGGGTTTGCCTCCTCCACCACCTCCCCCACTGTTTGGATGTCCGCCTCCACCTCCACCCTCTGCTAATTTATTGGCTCCTCCGCCGCTGTTCAGCACTCCTCAGGGTTTAGGGTCACCCCAGGTTTCTAGGGGTCAGCCAGCATTTATAAAGAAGAAGAAAACCATCCGTCTGTTTTGGAACGAGGTGCGGCCATTTGAGTGGCAGTGTAAAAACAACAAGCGCTGCAGAGAATTCCTGTGGTCGAAACTGGAACCCATTAAGGTGGACACTTCCAAACTGGAGCATCTCTTTGAGTCTAAATCCAAGGAACTGCCTGTCACAAAGGTACAGCTCATATTCATTGCTATCATTTTGCTATTGTATTGGTATTCATTCTGACTTAGATCTCAGTGATTTATGTTGTTTATGTGAAGATAGTAGAAATTACTGGATATGTTTCTAGCTTGGCCTATGAAGGAGTATATTCCATGGCCTGAAACTAGGAGATGAGACTAGTGTGGTGTACATGTCAAGCTTCCCCCTTATCTCAGGTCTACCGATTTTGGAATATCACTTCAGGTAAGGAATACCAAGAAATTTTACCTAAGGTTGTAGCTGAGTACCAAACTAGGTATTGAAATCTGCAATATTTTCTGTTGCATTCATATAAAGGTCACAGCATGATGATTCATGTGTGATCTTTGTATTTGACAGTTCTTCAGTTGGTAATATCTTCCTAATCGTGGTGTAGAAAGGTTAGAATATCAAACTAGATCTGCTGCAAAAAGCCTACACATGTGCTTTGTTCTGAGAGATCCATTTGTCAGCTGGACCAAGTTCACAGCTAAACTCTGTAGGGGTATTGGGTTTTTGTTTTATACGGGTGAACAGGCCTATTTTAAATCCTTAATTTGTACAATGTGGCTATCCAAATTTTAGGGTACAAGCTGGCACAGGAAATACCTCTGTAGCTAGGATTTCCTATTTGGGAGCATTGTTATAAAATAAATAAAATAAAAGGCTGATGACATGGCTGTTTAACATTAGACTCAACAACGTAGGGAAGTCTTTTATAGTTAAATTTAGTAGGAATTTGAAGTAGCATTTTAAAAGTTATGAGCTCAAACGTTGTTTTTCATGGCTGCATAAACTCTTTTTCTTCTAAGCAAAATAATCAGTATCAGGGAAACAATGTTTTTTCCCCGAGTTCAAATGCTAGTAAAAGATGTCCGTCTCTTTTACTTAAAACAAATCACTTGTATGTTTTCTGTGTGTGCCTATAGTGGCATAAAAAACAGTCAGTACCTTGAATATTTTACTTCTCTTTGGCTGGCAAAAGTTGTTATATATCTTATGTATCATATATGTTATTGTTTGCTCTTAAGTTGGAGAAACTGAATGTCTACTGGTAAAAGTTCTCCATGTCACTTTTCTGGGTTATTAAGTCAAGATTTTCTGATAGTCATTCTTGATCTTCTTGGCCAAGTGGAAACATTGCAATTTGAACAATCAAGCCCCTCATTAAGTACCTAGCAAACAACAGGTACATAAATACATGGCTCATGTAGATCCTGCCATCACTGTTCTTAGCTGAATTTTTTGTGACACAGATGCATGTAGATCTGAAACGTATGGCATAGCAGCTCTAAAAACACATTCAGCTGATCTTTCATTTGGCCAATGCTGGGATTAATTTCTCTCTCTAATTCCTTTTCTGCTGAGGAAGGAATGCTGGTGACGTCGTGGCATGTTACTCCTCATCTCTCTCCCTGTAAATGCAAATCTGCTACAGATGGTTTGTAGATGGAAGGAATGAGAGTGTTTTTCTTAGATCCATAAAACATTTAATTCCTCAAATTGAATGTGGAATTATGACGTATTTGCCATTTCCAAGCCAGCTTTGTGCTAAATCCCAGTATTGTAATGGATCAGTCTGGCTGATCCTTAATCTTTTATTCTCACCCAAAATTTTTGATAAAATGTTAAATTGTTGGAATTTTAACTTGTTTACTTTTCTAGTCATTTATCATGCATGTTCCCAAACTACCTTTGCCCATTTCCCCCCCTTCCCTCATGCTTGCTTCCCAAACCTGCCTGGGCTGCCTGATGCTTTGGCATAATTTTTGGCTTCTGGCTGGAAGATGAGTGAGCAGGTTTCTTTGAAATTAGTGCAAGTCTGAGAAATTATTTAGGTGCCTGTATTCCTCTTCAAGACTAATAACTGCTCTCTGCATGAGGCATTATACTTTTGGCTCTCTTTTCACCCCGTCCCATAACACAGACATAGAAGTCTCATTGTCTCTGTAGAGAAGATAATGGTGACCAAGGATTACCGTAGTGGAGATCTACTCAGACTTCTGAGACTGCTGCGTGGTTTTGGTGAACATCGGCAAATCTTCCAGGGTAGGAGGTGGTCTTTAGATCAAGTAAGAGTGGGAATAATTAAGCAGACCTCTGAATCTGTAAAAGACTTGAGGTTTGGTACAAAGATTGCACTCAAATTAGGATAGCTCTCATTTTTTCCAGACTGCTTGGTTTATTTCCAGGGAGTACATTCCCCGTTGTGTCTAGTTTCTCGTGTCCAATGGCTGCAATCCAAAACAGGTTTATTCTATAATATCGTAAAGTCTGACTCATAGCTCAGTTGGTTCAGCTGAAAAATTGTGCAGAGCAACAAATCAAAAGTCAAATCTCCAGATTTCATAGCAAGAGATGGAAGCAGGTGCATGGAAAAGGAACAGTCCAGAAGGATGAGAGGAAAAGCGAAGGCAGGGTGTGTAGTGGGGGCTTGGCTCTATCTTGTGCATATGCTCTTTCATACAGCTGTAACCAATTTTACTACAGTTTCTAATCCTTCACTGTGATTTCCACAACACACAGCTATAAACAGCTACTTTCTGGCTTATGAGAAGTTTTTCATTAAACACAATAGACTGCAATAAAATAAAGTGGATTTTAAATTGAAGGATATAATATAGGAATTGGAGGTGGGGAGGCTGGGAGAAGAGATTCTTGATTTTAGTAAAACTTGTGCCACACTGGACAACTCACACATTGATTATAGTTAATGGAGCATCTTTAGTTGCAGAGTGTTTCTTTTCTGGAATAGAGAACCACAACATTCTATTTGCAAATAGAAAGAGTGATGATCAGGTATCCCCTCCAAGCCAGTCTAGAATTTCTTTCCTTCTGACTCCACCAAACAAAGCAGGTATTTTAGCAAAGTTCTTCAAAGTGTTTTGTTTTCTGTGAAAAGAAATGAAAACATGCAGACACTACTGAATCAAACGGTGTTGTTCAGCCCTTCTGCCACCCACTTGGTTCTGTGTGTCCTTTGGAAGTATTATTTTGCTGATTTCGTCTGTACCCTGTGGGACATGGTGATCCATCAGTGCCAGCAGACATAAAAACTATTAGCAGTGAAAAACTAAGCAATGTGTTTTCCTTTACATGTGTATATACATGCCTAGACACGTAATTGTTTTGAAAACTTTGTTGCAATTTGAATAAATGCAAAGACAAGTAATAAATATGGACCAGAATTTCTGAAAAATATTATATATATGTATACTGGACAAAGCCAGTGGCAGCTGAGTGATTCAATTTTAAATCCCCAGTGCTAAATCCTTGCTAATTGAGATAAAAATATGAAAAACTGCCATCTCCCTCTGAAGAGCTTGACCATTTTTTTCTGTACTGCTGATGCAGTTTAAACGCAGGAGATATGCGAGCATCAAGTCAGAAATATAATTACTTATTTATATGACCACTGGAAAAATGATTCAAAATTTTCTGCTTTCCATATTAATTAAAGAGACATGTTTTAGACTATGTGCTCATCAGACTACAAATCCCCTTCTGTGGGATGGTAACAGTTTTGGACTAACCTATCTTGACTACCCAGCCTTTAATAGAGGCAACAGAATCTGCCCAGTTAGGTCTTGTAAAAGTCTAAATTCACTGCAATTGTTAATACATTGCAGGAATGTTTGTTTGCCACAAATTATACCACCTGATATATTTTTATTTTGTAATAAATTCTGTATTTAGATTTAATAATATAATATTCAGCAGTTCAGGGCTTACGTTATGTACTGACATATTAAAATATAAAATCAAGTGCATTAGTGCACTGTTCCCTCAAGCATTTGAAATAATTCTCTGTTAATGAACTTATAAAACAGATTCTGATATTGCCTAATATTGTAATAAAAGTTAATAGTTGTAACTTATTTTAACAGTCATACACTTACACATGTGCAATTTCATTGCAGACAAAAAGGAATTCTTTTCCTAGCGGTAGGGTAATAAAGTTCATAGTAGTGAAATCTTTCTCTTTTCTTCATCCTTTTATTTATTTGGAAAGGATTTCTTTGTAACTCAGCCGTCTTCCCCAGAATGGATTTCAAATCTCTTCTTCCCCTGTTTTTGAAAAGAGTTGCTTACCCCAAATTTTTATACCCCATATGCAGTTATAGGTCTGGAAAATACCTACGTGCTTACATCCCCTATACAGCTCATCTGTCTTTCATAACTCATTGCTAAGAAGTAAGTGCGCTGTTGCAATCGCAGTCATTCCAGCAGTTAGCATCATATGTCCCTCAAATGAATATGTCTCTCTTGTCAAACTTAGGAGCCTAAAAACAGAGGTGCAGATCTGAAGCTTACTTACCCATACCACATGTGGGAAGCCTAAATTTAACTCCTTTCCCCCAGCTTTTCCCCTTCTGCATAAATTCTCTGAAGCTGTGTAATTCTGTGCTGTGAAGGATAAGGTAAAAACTGGTGGTTTAAAAAAGGCTTAGTGCAATACAGACCCAAGAGGAAGCAGTCTCTGGTGAACCCCACTTGTTTTTATGTGGTCTTGGCCTCTAACTGTGGTCCTGAAAATGTGATTAGTGGCCCTGGAAGTAAAAATGACTGCTTTAAAGGAGAAGCTGCATCTCTGATTCTTCAGGTAGCTCCCTAAGAAAAAAAGGACTCTTACTCAAAGAAGGGAAGGTTCAAGAAGACTTCAGGGGTGCTTGTAAGGTGTTAAGAAGAGAGCGGTTCTGACAGAACAGACATATAAAAATTGAAAACAAATTTTATCTTTGCTCACCTAAAATTTATCCTTTTTACTGGAAAAGTGTTGTTTCTTTTTAAGTTTTAAAAAACCAGCCCTCTCATTACTTTCACAGTTGCATCATACCATGTTAATCGTGTTGGTATGATGGAAGGGCTGTGGTGCCACACACATGATGGGCAGGCTGCTGGGACCAGTGGGCATACCTCTCCTGTGCGGGCAAGGAGCTGAGCTATGCCAGAAAAAGACATCTTTGTAATGGTGTAGCTGCATTCCCACTACGGGCTGACCCACAGCCAAAGGTACTTTGATAAAAGAATATTTATTAATTTAGTTTAGGCGGTTCTTCCAACACAGAATCAGCATGTAGACCTGGTAGTAGGGCATTTTTTGACTCGGTGTTGGCTGTGGTGCAGAAACAAAGGAAGTGGAGAACAAAGCTTTGTGGTCTAAAAAGCAATCCTGAGCACACATCAAGACTAGGTCAATAGGAGTCTCCTCCTGGGGTTCCCCCAAATCCACAAGAGATGCTGCTGTAGACAACACAGGTGATTCTCTGTTCTGAACAGTTGTATGGGCTGCCACGTTGCAGCCTGGAAAGAGGGATTGCTTAGTCTCTGTCTTTGACCCTTTGAGGTGCACCTGTGCTAAGGCTGCTGCTTCCAGATCCGCTAACCAAAGTCCAGGTAACAGGCTTTACAGGGAGGTCACAGTCACACCTCTGCAGCCTCTGCCATGCTGGAACATGGGTTTATACACAACAAAGCATGTCTGTGCTTGCTTGCATCAATGTGCCCGTCTTCTGGTAGGTCAAAGGAAGGGGAAACGGAGAAAGTGTGTTTCTAAAGTTCATGTCTATGGAGGAGGAAAAATCCCTGTGTTTGAGAAACAGAGTCCTCTCCTTTTGTAGCTGCCTGCTATATGACATACCAGGCAAAGAGACACCTTCTAGCAGGGGACAATGAGAGAATGAGAGGCATGCTGGGACATAAAAGCAAAGACCACATTCAACACTATATATATAAATGGTCTGTGAGTCACCTTGCCTAGTTGGTTTCCATTTTGACACTAAGAGGATGGTGAAAGAGAGGAATAAATTTATTGGCTTTCTCTAGAATGGAATTTAAAGTATATGTTGTTATTTTTGTGCTTTCATTATTGTTTATACTGGAGTTTATACTGGAGGTAAGATCCAAAGATTATGCCTAGTCTCAAATAAAACTTTGAAAAAAGCAGAAAGGTTGAAGTTGTTCTACACCTGTGAAGGTCTTGATGGACATATCACAAGCAGCAAGGTAGAATACTATTTTCTGACAGCCAGAGGTCAGAAAACCATGCCAGTGTCTCCTGAAAGACCTATACAGATTCTTTGCCAGTGCCTGAGATAGATTTATAACACAGGAGAGTGCTGGCAGGCAGGTGCAAACCACCCTGTCTGTTTTCCGGGCAGCCCAGCAGGCAAGAGAGGGTTGGTGGCCACTCACATCAATGCATCCAAGGGAGAAATGAGCCCTGGAGCCCATCAGCTGCATGGCTGCAGCCTCACCAGCCCTGCGCCAGATGGTCCTGCCACACGGCAGAGCTCTTGCCTGGCAGAGGTAGCTTTAGGCTTTTTTCAGACTGAGTCCTCCCCCAAACTGCAGAGCTCCCAGCCCTCACAGGAACTCCTGTGTCTCAGGGTAGCTCAGCTTTGCACAGCATCTGAGACTGTGTTCAGCTCTCTGGTTAAATCTTGGCAGCTCATGCTGATACCAGCGAGGATCTGGTAGAAGAATTCATTTTTTTTGGATGATTGTAAAGGTGTTAGATTTACGTTCAATGTCAGCACGCTTGAGTAGGGGAAGTCATTAGTCAAAGGAGGGACTTCTTTATAAAACAGGCTGGAGGAATAATATTCTTGTTCTCTTCTTTACCAAGAAAACTGCTGCAGATGGGAAGCGACAGGAAATCATTGTATTGGACTCAAAACGAAGCAATGCTATTAATATTGGCTTGACTGTGTTGCCCCCTCCCCGGACTATCAAGACTGCTATTTTGAACTTTGACGAATATGCCTTAAACAAGGAAGGAATAGAGGTAAGAAAGAGTAGTCGATGTCTTCAAGTCTGCATTTTCTATGTTTCATTTTTTTCAATGTTGCACATAGTACAGGACAGACTTTTCATGGAATAGGGAAAAGAGGATGTATTATTTCATGATTGAGAGTTGAAACTCATAAAATCAATGTAATGTGCTCAGAAGCATCTAGTATTCACATGCATGCTCAGTAAACATGGATTTCTTTGCTTTGTTTGTGTCCAAGTTTGAGTAATAATGGTGTTAATTTCTGTCAAGATTTCCAGAGTATTATCTGTTCCTCTGGAGCTTGACTGAAATATTTTGAGCAGCAAGAATAGGCAGTGAGTTACTAGGGCTGATACAACTGGTACAGGGTTTAATAAAGTTCATGCCCAGCTAGCTGTTGGAGTCATTCTAGATTGTATATCTAATTGAAAACAAATACAGTGACTAGTTCTGCTCAGAATAACATTTCTGTGTTACTGCTGTTTGAAGAAAAGCAGTTGGTATAAAGATTACAGATGATGTAATTTTTACCATTACATGTTTGACTTTGGAGATATTCTTACCAAGATGAACTCTATTTTTTTTTTTTTATCAAAACATTTTTATTCTATGAAGTGTAAAAGAAGCCTGCTGCTTCTCCCCTGTTTTTTTTTTTTTTTCATTGTGGTTGTATTCATTTCAAAACTTTTTTTCTCATAAGCCTATGTAATCTCGTAAAAGTAATCTGCACAACTACAAATCTCAACCAGTGGCTGAGCTGCAGAGGTCATGTATTGATTCACAGTCACCTTTCAGTGGTTTGGCATTATGTTTCATGATTTTCCCCTTTCCACCTTCACTGTGCTGACTACAGAAGAAAATGAGAAAAGCTGGCTGCAATGGAAATGGAGTTGCCAGCAGTTACGTGCAAAAGAAATACTTAAGGCAAACGATCGTTCTAGCTAGAAGACAAAGCCTGATTTTTCCATAGTAGAATGTAGTTTCTTCGCAAAGCTATATTATTTATTTGCTATATACATACCTTATTCATATTAGGAAGATGACAAATCAGGCTAAAAAAGTAATTTTTCATGACCCAGTCCATGCACCTACCACTGCAGCTTGCAGTACTAAGCTTTAAAGTGTTGAAGAGAAGTACCCCTCCAGCCGAGCCCAGCTCGCCGATCTCCAGTTAGATCTCAGTGCTGTTGGCAGCGTTTCCATAGAAAGTCCAACGTAAAATGGCTGATAAAGAAGGACACATCTTTATTATCTCCCAGGTATCTTGTTTGAATTGTGTCCTTCTCTCTGGCATGCTTAACAGAAGTTTAGTTGCTCTGCACAGCTCACCCTTCCTAGTGCCAACATTTGTAGCTGGGCTGTCCATCTGTCAGCCACCTGTGGTGTCCTCAGTTGTCAGTGCCTTGGACCACCACACCCTCCTTTGCGTGGCGTTTCCATTAGCTGCCAGAAACCCATAATTCCATTTTAAAAATATATATGCAGGTAGCTTTCAAATTGAAGTATTCAGAAACCAGGAAATGATACACTGTTGATATACTTGCCCAGTGCTAAGAAAATAGGATTTCTGAGTTCTGTGTCCACAGCTTGAAGCTAAGGGGTATGAGTAATCCTGATGTGATCATTCAGATATTTAAAATCAAAAGAAAGAGAATAAGCTGAATATGAATCAGCAGTGTGCCCAGGTGACCAAAATAGCCAGTGACATCCTGGCTTGTATCAGAAATAGTGTGGCCAGCAGGACTAGGGAAGTGATCATTCCCCTGTGCTCAGCACTGGTGAGGCCACACCTTGAGTACTGTGTTCAGTTTTGGGTCCCTCACTACAGGAAAGACATCGAGGTGCTGGAGCATGTCCACAGAAAGGCAACAAAGCTGGTGAAGGGTCTGGAGCACAGGTCTTACAGGAGAGGCTGATGGAACTGGGGTTGATTAGCCTGGAGAAAAGGAGGCTGAGGGGAGACCTTACCGCTCTCTACAGCTACCTGAAATGAGCTTGTTGTGGGGTGGGAGTTGGTGTCTTCTCCCAAGTAGCAAGCAATATGACAAGAGGAAATGGCCTCAAGTTGTGCCAGGGAAAGTTTAGATTGGATATTAGGAAAAATTTCTTCACCGAAAGGATTGTCAAGCACACCAGGCTTGTGTGGAACAGGCTGCTCAGGGAAGTGGTTGAGTCACCATCCCTGGAAATATTTAAAAGATGTGTAGATGTGCCATTTAGGGACACGGTTTAGAGGTGAACTTGGTGATAGGTTTATGGTTGGACTTGATGATCGTGAAGGTCTCTTCCAGCCTAAATGATTCTATGATTCTATGGAGCATAGCCCAGGTACTTTGTGCCTTGAGGGATTAAGCCTGTATTGGTTGGGAAGGGTGATATTAATAGAGAAAAGAACTTTTTTTTCCCCCTCAGTGCTCAATCATTATTTACTTCTTATCAGGTAAAACCCTACAGTAAATTCAGATTCCCTTCCCCAATTTACAGATTTTTCTTATAGGACATGGTTACAGAGTCAGACAGACGTTTATAGCAAGATAGACAGCTAAGCTATGCAGAATTGACCAAGAGGTGCAAAGAGAGATACAGAAATGCATCGTTGTGAATCCCACTGTTTTCAGCAGAGCCCTGCCTCAGTTTTCCATGCTGCCCTTTCGGTCTACAATGTAGATAAGCTTTGTTTACTGTTTTTCTCCTCTGTATCCATCTGTTCACTGGCTTTAGCCTTATAGTTAGCTTAGAGGAAAGAGGGGTTGTCTTTTCAGTCTAGATTTTTAGAAAGTTTTCTGGTTCATATCTGCAGTTCCTCAATATTAGGAAATAATTGGTAGTGATGATGAATGAATCGGTAATAGCATAAGCATCAGCTTATTTTTCTAAAAATGCAGAGAATAAGGCAAATTATTTGCTATATAATATACTTTATAGCTAATCTATGGGTTGAATGAGGCAGTACTGGTATGGAAAAAAATTATGCAATTGGTCTAATTAAAAAACTGCATCACAGTGGGTACTCAAAAGCCTTTCTACATAGTTAATTGTCTAGAAGAGATGTCAAGGCTAGTGAGCAGAAGAGAGAGATGTAAGGAGAGCAGGACAAGAGATGTGATGTGTGTGGTGGGGACATAACATTCACTGCTAAAATTTCAGAAAAATTACAGTTTAGGATCATCTTCAACCTTTAGGGGATCCAGCACAGAGCAGGGCACCAACAGGGTATAAACTCACCTGACCCATCCATTGCCTTGGCTGTGAGCTTTGTGCTATGTCCCTCGCTGAGGAGCATCGTCACTGTCATGTTGGTGTTCATGTGGCTTTAGTTCTGCACCTTCGTGGATGAGTTCAGATTAAATAGTATCTAAAAACTGGTAGGACAAGGGGCAATGGGTGTAAGCTGGAAACAGGAGGTTCCGCTTAAACTTGAGAAAAAACTTCTTTACTGTGAGGGTGACAGAGCCCTGGAACAGGCTGCCCAGGGAGGTTGTGGAGTCTCCTTCTCTGGAGCCATTCAAGACCCGCCTGGATGCCTTCCTGTGTAATTTTGTTTAGGTTCCTGCTCTGGCAGGGGGATTGGACTAGATGATCTTTAGAGGTACCTTCCAATCCCTAATATTCTGTGATTCTGTGACCTTAACCATTCCTTTAAGGACAGTGGACTAAAGTAGTGCTAGCAACAAGGCAGTGATGCAATGGTATGCAGGCTACACATTTGTGCCCAACTCATCATCCAGTTCATATTGTCCAAGTAAACCCTCTGCTACTGTCCTACATTCTGCTGAATGCTGCTTTGCTTGTGCATTTAACTCTTGTTAGTCATTCATACTTATTTAACATTTTTAATTTAACATTAAACTCTTGTTAGTAATCCATACCTTGCTTTTTAACTTCAAATATGTGACTAAGATAGGAAAAGTAGTTCTCCAGGTATTTTAAGGCCCTCTATACCTAAGCATGTTGGGTATTTTAGGCCATGCATTTGAAGTGGTTAGGTACCCCTGAGCTGTGAAAAAAGGGCAGAAAATGGGGCATGGTTCTAGAAAGGCAGATCTTGTCCATTCAGTATGCAAAGCAGGCACTGTTAGAAACACATTTTCAAAGGAAGGCACAATGTGTGTCTGCAAGCATGCATCAATCCAACTTAAAAAAATTTTACCACCTTATGTTTGCCAAAGTAGTTGTGTTTTTCTTTGTTTGAAAGCTTGGCATTCATTGTGTTCAAACGGCTTGGAGCTCGCTGCAGGATAAAGAGCTGCCTGCTTAGCACGGATGAGAGCTTTCTGTGAACCAAGCAAGAGAGCTGAGCTTAAAATCCTGGCACCTAATTTTAATGAAGTGTATCATGTGCAACTGCAAGAATAGATTCCATCAAAACAGTTCTTGGTGCTTGTCTTTAGTAAAGGAAATGAATGACTCCCTCTGTAAAGTGCTACTCATTAAGAGAATGTGGATCAAAACCAAATTATACCAAAGAGTATGATTAATTCAGCAGAATAAAACTGGGTTAAAGCTGTGAGGGAATTAAGGTGGGTTGCTTTGTGCTTTACAATATAACTTTGTGATGCTACACAATTTTGCATTGCATTGGTAGGTACAGCTTTTAGTAAAACTACTTGAAATGAAAAAACTCTCCAGCTATGCCAGGCCCTCCATACCCATGTTTTTTAAATACTTCGAAGTCCATGTGCCTGGAGTGGTTAGGTAGCCCTGAGATGTAAAAAGTGGTAAGAAACGAGAGCCTGGTGTTAAAAAGGCAGATGGTGACATGTATAAATAAAAAACAAAATTAGATTTTCAGAAATAGTCAAGGTATTTAAGTTTTTGTTCTGATAGTTGCTCCGGTACGTTGGCATTTGCGGTTTCCAATTCGTTTAGCTAATGCTTTGTAAAATTGTCATGGTGATGGGATGTTTCAAATTATGCCAGCTCGTGTGACCAGAGAGAACACCTCTTTTCATGAGTCTAAGCAGAAGAGAGAGCAGACTCGATGGTGCCTTGCTGGTCGTACACCCATGGTCAGCGTATCACTGGCCTAGTGAATTTCAGACTTTATTTAAAGAAAAAAAGCTACACTTTCACTCCTTGCAGCAAGCCAAAACATCATCTGCAGTTTCTGTGACCAGCAATGGCATGTCCATGTATTTCAGTAGAGAGCTGAGGAACTAGAGCTGTCTAACCAAGGCAGCAGCTCTCGGTTCCCAATATACAGGGATGGCTATCAGGAATTTGAGATGTAGTTCCTTCTCCAAATTGGATCATTTTTGGAAGAATTCAAATAAAATCAGTGCAGGGAACCACACTCACTGTGGAATCCTGAACTTCATATGCTTTTATATTTTGTTGGCGTTTCTGCAGATAATGCAAACCACCGATGTGTCTTTTTAATAGCTGCCTGGAAAGCTGAAGTGTGAGAGCCTTCTTGGAGCTGAATCTTCTGCTGAGGCCTGTCAGATATCTGATGAAATGCCCACTGATGTGTATTTGATGATGCAGCTTACAAACTTTTGGGCCTCAAGCCACAGAAAGGTTTGGACCCAGCAACAACCATTATTTAGTTTACTGTTTTTTTCACGTTCACCTGATAAAATCAACTGAAATCAAATAAGAAAGCTGAGGCACCCCTGCAACCTCATCATCACTGAGAAGTCCCGTTATCTCTTGAAAAGGATGACTTAAGCACATAATTTCCACAGAGGCTTCAGGCTATTTGCAGTCTCTGGTTAGGTGCTTCCTTGCATCCTGCTCTGAGGCCTGTCACTCTCAGGCATATGAGGGTTATAAATTTTGCCCTGTGAGCCTTGTAAGGCTTTCCTCTTAGAAATTTTTTGAGATCATACATCAGGATGGCAAAGTCCAGGAGATAAATGGTTTGATCCCACACTGAAAGTTCAAGCAAGTGGCTGGGTTCAACGGTCTGAGAGCAGAACAATTAGGATCTATGATCTCACGCAAACAGGATTTCCAAAAATTACTTCTTTTTCTCCTTGCAGAGATTTGTGCATTGGTTTTCCTCAGAATGTTCGTCTCTGGCCCGAACAGTTGTGTGAGAATGCATGGAGATGAAATGGGTGAATCACACATATTAGAGGATATGAGCATAGGGTTTTTTGATAACCAGTTCTTCTTTAATCAACATGAAGAGTGCCGTACTAGGGAGAGCATTGTGAAATAATGATTAGATTCAAAGCTAGTTGTTATTTAATGGTCACATCAAGTGCCAGGAACCTCTTTTTTATGCTACTTTTACTGTCAGTGATGCTTAAAAAAAATAATAATAAATGGGCAGACAGTACTCATCAGTTTCCAGCACTGAACAAATGGCTCAAATTAGTCACAGAGTGGAAATCAAGAACAGGAGCGTTTTACCACTTGCTTAGGGGCACACCAAGGATGATGACCAGCAGGATCAGAATTATTTGCCCAAGCAGTTTAGAAGAGCTGATGACTAAGTCATTGTTATGAGAGCAGTTGCACCCTGGATGGTGAGACCTGCCAGCAGCTCTGGTCCCATCGAGGCAGGCCTTTCAGGAGCAGTGGCAATCCTCGGCAGCTGGCACCACAAGTACAGGCTCTTTTGCTTGGAGTTCTGCGTTTCTCATACTACGGTACACAGCACAGCAGCCTTGCAGTACTTGGACTTGAATGCTTTTTGTCAACTCCATCTGGCTTGTGGTGTTTACATAAAGCTCAAGGAGGAGAGTCCCTTTGGAAATAAAGCTTACTGTTTCATTGCTCTCTTTAAAATACCCAAAAGCAGTGCAGAATCTCTGGAGTGAAGGCTCTGCACCACCACAAAATACTTGTGGCATCTCTGGGTAGCTGCCAAAAGCCCTAGTTATTTGTAGGAGGCCATTGAGAATACCGCTGAAGTGTTAGGCTTCAAAAATGCATCAGAAGCATTTTTACATCCATCACATGGCTACTGCTAAACTCTCCATGTACGGATATTCATATGATCCTATTTGCAAGCTGCCCTGACTCAGCTGAGGGGGTGTTGGCTTCTTATTGTTGTTGAAGAGAGGCACTAGGAGGCCTGACTTCTTCAAATGACACTTTGTGAAACACCTCTTACGAGTTTCAGACTCAGGCTGTCTTTCTTTATGAACTTTTTTAGATAGGTATTGATTAAGCACTGAGAAATGCCCTGAAGCAGCTATTTATACATCTCTAGTTTGATGTTAGATATGACCTAAGTTACAGATTTCAGTGTGTGTGGGTGGATGGATGGATAGATAGCACATCTCAAAATCAATACACAAATGCTATCAGTCGGGACAAGTATACATCAGAATATTTTCCAAACAGTCATTGACAGGGAAAGGAAAAGCACCCAAGTATATGGAGGGATTTTCCTCCACTTCTTTTTTCCTTAGGTTATTAATTTATTAAGATAAAAACCTAAAGAGTCCAACCAAGAAGGATTTTTTTTTGTTTGCTTTTTAACTGAAAGATGGAGCCAACATTAACAGAAACAAATGCTTCTTTGTTTATGGAATTCAGCATAACAAGATGGACAGCAATACAAGTGCTGTGACTGAAGTTAAATAAGTCCCAGTTCAACAAATTTAACATTATTTGCTTGCTTAACTCTTGTTCTTTGCCTGATTGACCAGGAAAAGTCCCTTGCTCTCCATGCTTAGTTCCAGTGCTGTACAAGGAGCCAGATGAATTATCAGCACTGGAAGGGGGCAGTTGTGCTGCTTTGATGAATTGTCTGTGTCCAGTGCTGGGACAAGGCTGTGGTTTGGATTGGCAGGTCTGATAGGTCTCTGGCTGTATTTTTATTATTGTCTCCTCCCCTCCAAAACAGACTCTGTCATTATAGAAGGCTACAGCAAAAACACGTCATTCCTCGGATTAATAAACATAAGTTGTGTTGAAAATAGATTTTCAGTAGACTGCTTTGTTTTAATGAGGCATTGATCAGCAGGGTAAAGACCAACTTATCTGATGCCTTCTTGTTGTTTTGCTTTTCTTTTTCATTTTAAAATACATTTATTATGTTAAAACTAATTATGAAGCAATACTTTAGAGAGCAATACTTTAAGAAAGAAAGCTGTCACATGCGAACAAGCATGTAAAATCCAAGAGTTAAAGGGAAAATATAAATGTTTTGAGCCATACTGACAGCAGAAATTTAAAATACTGAGATCCTTTTTCATCAATATTTTAGACTTTTCAGCTCAAAAGATAAAAAGGCCAATTTTTTGCAAAGCATAATACAACTTTAAATTCAATGCGTGTTCCTTGGGAACTTGTCCTCATTTCAGGTGAAATTTTTAGAAGTGACCTGATAGGCTGTAATAATTGTCAAAACAGACTGAACAAAAAATAATAAATTATGAGAACAGCAAAGGACAGGAGTCCTCAAGTTATTCCTGTATACCTACAAGTGCACTGGAAGATTTGTAGATGCTGAGGCTAAAAGAGACATGCTGTCTAGTCTGACCTGCTATAAGTTGCAAATCAAAAGATTTCACTCATTCTACCCTCACTTCTGTATGTAATTTGTAGAAAGGTTTTGATTTAAAGATATGAAAGCTGAGGAGAGCAGTCCTAACCAGACACCCTGTATTGCTTCAGTGTTTGATCCTGCGATCAACCATATCCACTGACTACAGATTTTTAAAAATGCATGTTAATACAGATGTGTTTTTTAACTGCGGATGTTCAAGTTGGCAGACCTTTTTTTGCTCTCTTGTGCAGTGGGTTAGTGCTTGGTTACTACCGTGCTGTCCTAATTCACCAGCCAGTGACTAAGGACTTCTGTTGCTGCTGAAAAGTCACCTAGTGTCACCGAAGCTCAGGCAAAGTCCAAGTGAAGCTCATCAAGTGAGCCTGCGTTGCAGGAGCGCTTGCCACAGGAGCGTCCCTTTGTCACCATGTCCAGCCCTTGCATGCCTCTTGGCCCCACTGCTGACAACTGCCTTTTGTCTCTCTTTGCAGAAAATCCTGACGATGATCCCAACTGAGGAGGAAAAGCAAAAGATCCAGGAGGCACAGCTGGCGAACCCCGATGTCCCCCTGGGCAGCGCCGAGCAGTTCCTTCTCACCCTCTCCTCCATCAGTGAACTCTCCGCCAGGCTCCAGCTCTGGGCTTTCAAGATGGACTATGAGATAGTGGAAAAGGTGAGAGGAAAGCAGGGAGTCAGGGGTGGAGACTCTTCCAAGGCTTTGCTTAATCTTTCCCTGACCTTGTTATTATATGAGTGTATATTTTGAGGAAATGGTAAATGGTTCACTTTTGTTTTGGTGGCCAACCAGGAAACAGCTAAAATGATCCTTCATAATCTGTTCCTTCTATAAAAGAAAATTAGAGATTATGTCTTCCTTCCTTTAATTAGGCAGTAATGATATTGGAACAAAGAAGAGGGCTAAATCTTTACCCCATCTTCTCCAGATGTTGTTATTCAGGAAATTCTTACTTCAGAACAGTAAGAATTTTTCTTTGGATAAAGATTGAATGAAGACTACAGTATTCAGCCTTACATCATAAAATGAGAGTATTGATCTTGTATCCATTCGAACTAAGGAAAACACCATCCATTAAATTTATTTCTATTTATAACTCTCAAAGTTACAAACAAAAGATAAATACATCCTTTAGGGCTGCTTTTTGCAGTTCAGTCAAAGACAGTTTTTGTCACCTTCTTCACAGATGGCATTTATTCAGAGAACACTGTAATTAGGTTGTCTGACATGTATGATGAGTCACAGACAAAAAGTTTAAAATGACAGCGTATAATTTTGTTGCATAGGTGAAGCAGAATGAAACTGTGCAGGCAATTTCAGCTGCTTGCTGACTTTCACAAGCTCTTTCAGGAATGTCAGTGCAGGAACCTTCTGTCTGCTCTTCTGGTGCATACTCCATGCATTGCACTTCAGGCAGCTCTCTCCTATATATATTAATTTGGTATGTGTATCTGTGCGTGTATATGTATATTAAAAAATTGGAGTAACTTTGTACGATACGGTTTCTGAGAAGTGGGACATGCTTCTGAAAGTGCCTTATGTTTACCTAGCCATGGTTATTTAACAAGTTGTACAACAGTGGATTGATTTGCAGATGATACTGTCAAGATTACTTGACCTCTGTTTCATTTTCTTAGATTTTAGGGAGTGCAATCACACTAATAATCAGGATTTTTTTAATTGTGATATTTTGGTCTTAGACATTTACATTCTGAATTGTAGAACATAAAATACTTGTATGTGGCATGCATATTTTTTTGCCAGTTGTTTTTTACTCTGGTACAACTATTTATTCTGCTTTGAAGTTACCACAAGGCTAAATTGTTCCTTTCAAGTGAGCTGAGTTAGCTGTAGCTATTAATCTATTCCTATAGCTGTAGCTATTAATCTATTCCTATACCTAGAATTCCTAGCTTCCTCTCAAACAAAAAGTAACATTTGAAGCACTACTAAAAACTAAAGAAATTCTGATAGTTTTCCTGTTGCTGATCCTATAATTTTTATGCCACAAAGTTAACAAATTACCAGCTAAAATCCATGTAGAATGGTTGTTAGTATAAAATGTCTCAAATACCTAAATTACTCAAAGAAGCGATAGCTGGAGTAAAGGTAGGACCAAGATTTTTATTCCTGTTGTAAGGCAAATAGGCCTAAGTACAGTACTTACTGTAAAATGGTACAGGAGTTAACGTATGATAACTCTGATAAAGTAAGAGGAGCATGTGATAAGAAGCCTAGGAGACAAGCATAGATACGACAGACAGCTTTGGTCTTAGGTGGGTGAAGAGGGAAATATGGGATCAGACATCAGAGGTACAGGAAAGAGAGAGCAGTTGGGTCTCTCTAGTAGCAAAAGGTTAAAGTCAGAATTTAAGTTCCAAGTTGCCTCTCTTGAAACTGAGTTATTTAGACTGAGATAAGATACTAGGAGCATATCCAATTAAAAAACGAAGTAGTTTGCATTAACTATTATGATAATAAAAGACTCGTATGACCAGCTAATATTTTTCTGTTCTTGAAACTATGTTTTTGCAGAAGGTCTATCTGTATATGGGCAAACACTTCGTGAAACTTAGGTGCCAAATCACTTAGCTCCACAGTTTTTGTCATTTTTTTGTCCAGCGTTTGCTTGGGTTTTGGATTTTTTTTTTTAATGTATTTTAAAATTAGGAAAAGTTAGTAACAGTTCAGAATGCACTCATTTATCAAGTCACACATATGTAATAAATGAATGAAGCTTATTATTTCCATGGGGCTGGAAGTTTTAGATGGTCCATGATATCAACAGTGTGAAATACTTGAGTTGTTGATATAAGACTGAGGCTCTCATTCATGAGGCTCTTTTGCTAATCAGCTGAGAACAGAGTTTTGCCTGAGGTAGTCTTAGTTCCATCTCTGACAGCCTGAAAGAAAAACAGCATGACATTGATCAAGAAAAGTGAGACATTGTTCATATTGGTAGAAAAGCTTTCCAGGCGTAACAAAGGAAGTCGTCTTTCTTGGATTGAATTTAATTAACCCTTTCTTGGATTGAATTAAATTATACACATTATCTGTTTGATAATGTGTATAATGTCTTGAAATGTTAACATGTATCTAAGGTAGGTCAGCAGTGGAACAATAATTTTTCTCACCTTTCTTTTGGTATCATTTTAAAGGCATATACAAGAGGTAGAGTTTCAACTTTAAATCTTAATTTCCAGACTTTTGATTGCTCTGAAAAATTACACTGTGTTACTGATAGTACTTTGTACTGAACTATTTATGATGCAGATGCTGTCAAACTTCATTATCTCAAAGGGAGTTTAAAGACCTTAGAAAGAGGAATAGAATCTTTAGTTGTCCTAAATCAGATCTTTTTTTTTTTTCTTAAGGTCACTATGGGCAAATATATCCTTATGACTGACAACTTTAAAGGGTCATAAATGAATATGAGCAGGTGTAGAAAAGCAAAAGTAGAACTGGTAAAGAAAAGGGCTTGCTTCAGTTTCTCTTCTGAGCAGAAATACCACTCCTGAATCTAGTCTCCCTGGAGAGAGTGTGCTAGAGAAACAAGCATTCAAAAAGATTGTATTTTTGAGAGATGCTTAAACTGTCTGAAAAATTTTAGAAGTGCATCAGAGCTTTTTAAATTTAACAGTATGGTCCCAATACTTTCTGTTGTTTTAAAAGGATATTATACTTTATGCAGGGCAGTCTTGATTCTTGATTAAATGCAGATGTGCATTTAATTTTAGTCATCTCAAAGTTCCCATCCCGACCAAGTTTTTACCCCTCCCACAAAAGCATGCACGTGAACATGTATAGGTGCAGTAAGCTGCACTTGTTACCAGTATAGCAGGTTGATAACAATGCATATGCCAGATCAGCTGTGCAGAATGTGTGCTACGTCCTCCCTGTCCCAGGGCCATTAGATTCATTGCACATGTATAGTTGAGTTCATTTGTGCATGCGTCAGTTATCAGGCATTATCAGATGTCTCACAGCCAGAAATTCTGGACCAATCCTCTAATTTCATTCAAACATAATTTTTAGGTGAAAAATAAAAACATAGTAAGTAAGGATACATCATATCTGAGGGTATGAGGTAGCTCTGCATTATGTATCTGCCCACTTTAGGCAGAAGGTGAGTTTTATAGGAAGCAAGAATGGGTATTTCAACTGATAATACAGTATCTAGAACACTGGTTTTTATTGTTTTTTAATACTATGATACAATAAAAAATAAAGAGTAATTATAAATGTACACTATATGCAAGGAAGTCTAAGCTCAGATAACTTGCATGTAAATAGCTAAATGAAGGGCTACAGTATAGCCTTCTTTGGAAGCCTTTTATTCTTCATAATGTTTTAAATTAACCTTTTAGGCATGATTTTATAACAGGTTGCAAATTGATACAAGGAAAAAAGTTCAGAAGCCAGTGTTTACAGCAGATGCAGAGCAGTTTGATTCATCCCCATAACACAACAAAACAAACAAAATCAACCCTGACTTTAAAACAATTTGAAGAATTCTGTGCAGAAGTTTATTGATTTTAGTTTCACTTGATAAAATCTTGGATTATTTAGCAACTCTCCTCTGATGTATAAATTACTTTGCTCACTATGCCATCTTTCAATTTTTCTCATATCTACCATATTCTTTTCAGGAGATGAATTGTTCTCTAGTGACTAGAAATGTATGTTTCCTTCTTTGTGCTCTTATTTATGGTAAAATATCACTGCAGTTGTTGAATGACCCATTGTATTTCTCCCAGAAAGCAAAGTTCTTTGCAATTTTGCCTCTTGGTCTAAAATAATAGCTTAATTTTGGCTTTTTGTCTCATAAAGAGTATAATGATTTGTGGAAAGAATGCTGCTCAGGGATGCTTAGGATGGCATTTGGAGATAGAAACAATATGAACTGTTACTGTGCATACAAAAAAAACCAACCAAAAAACAAAACCCTGGGCCTCATGCAGACATAGAAATAAGCTCCGTCAACTCAATTACCCTCGCTCTCTTTCTTTGAACTTTTTGTTGTAGTTCACTTCCCGAGGTAATGGAACAGAATTTACGTTGTCAAGCCTTATCAGTTTACATACCTATACTCAGATAACATGTATGGATGGAAGATGCATTAGGTTAAAGATTAAAATGAGAACACTTGTAAAGCTTGATGTTTGCAGTGGGGTTTTGGGGGGTTTTTTTGAGTTTTAAAGTAACGCAAGCACAAAGCCCTATCTCAAACTCAGAGGTGGCCGTCATTTGAAGAAAACTTTAGGGTCAGGCTACAAATGTCAAGTCAGCCAGGGTTCTAACATTTTTCCTTTTTTTAGAAAAAAAAAAGATTAGAAAAACTAGTTATAAGAAGCTTTTTTGTGAGGCAGGGGGATGTTCATGCAGCTGTCTCAAATGCAACAGCCCTTTCTCTGTTTCTCTCTCTCCTGTTTGGAATCACAGACTAATCCCCAGGACAAGTAAGGCAATTGCATACATAAAGAAACAACATCAGTAAAGTATTTTATGTATTTTTTTGCTGTCCTTGCATGTGATTTATTAGCTGGAACATGGAAGAAGGCCAGCACACATGGCCAGTTTGCACTCTGCAAGACGCCAGTTCAGGGACTTTTTTGCAGTAATTAATCTAAACCATAGAATTAAAAACTTAAAGCAGCTATAGCCAACTGCAACCTTCACTTTCTTGTTTCTGTTCTCATGGCAGGAAGTTGCAGAACCACTTCTAGACCTGAAGGAAGGAATGGACCAACTGGAGCACAATAAAACTTTGGGATTTATCCTTTCTACTCTACTAGCCATTGGGAACTTTCTGAATGGAACCAATGTAAGCCTGATGTCCGCACATTTCTCCTGCAGCTTTTTCCTTCAAAAAAACAAAAGTTAAAATTATTAGGAGAGTTTCAACCCAGTATTTATTTTGTACCAGAAAAGCAATTTAGAAAAAAAACCCCTACTTTTTCTTTTTATTGTGTGTCAGGCTGCCCTTTGCCTCTTTCAGTGTAAACTGAAGGAAATGTGGAGCTAGGCATTCTTCTGGTGCAACTCCCTTGAGTTTAGTGTTGATGCTCCCTATCCAAATTGTGAGACTGTGTCATGAGTTGTTTCACTGCAGATGGACTGATTTTAGCCTACTCTTTAGCAAGCTAAAAATAAATAAAAGCAATAAGTTTCTTCTCCTGTAGGCTTCTTCTTCTTCTTTACCCTCTGCCCCTAGTTGATAATAATTTTTGTCTGCCAATCTGCATGGGAATGAGTAAATATTTTAACTTTTAATTTCTCGCCTTTTTTCCCCTTTACAGGCCAAAGCTTTTGAGTTGAGCTACCTCGAGAAGGTTCCAGAAGTCAAGGACACGGTGCACAAGCAGTCCCTCCTGCACCACGTCTGCACTATGGTGGTGGAAAAGTTCCCAGACAGCACTGATCTTTATTCAGAGATTGGGGCCATCACTAGGTCAGCCAAGGTATGTCTAGTGGGTAAATACATTCATATTTTTAAAAACCCTCTTTAAAAGGAAATATTTAAGATTTCATTTTATTTTTTGATTTTGTTCCTCCCTGGTCACAGCATTTTTTTATGAATGTGAATTTATTGTGTCATTCCCACTGAATTTCAAAGATGCCAGTACTTTTTTTTGAGCTTTGTCACTGTATGTCAGATGGTTTCCTAATCAATGCACCAATAGGCAGCTACATTATGACAGCCATTTTCATGTTATATATGTTATTAATATATATAACTATTAGAAACTGTTTTCAGGTTAAAACTTTATTTGACCTGTATCTTCACATATATTTACTCTGTGCTTTGGGGGAATCCCTTTTCTAAAGCAGATGCCTGTATTTTAAGGTCAATGGAAGGAATGAACTTGTCTGGTAAAAATTGTTTCCAGAATGAAAGTGTCCTTGAAATATTTTGTTTAGCTTCTTTTCTGTCCTCCTCCTGACAATTTTGATGATTAGGAGTTAGGGAAGATGGATAGAAATAAAGGAAACTTGTGGTAGCACCTCTTTTTAAAAAGTGGTAATCCCTTGGCTAGTGCATAGGTCTAGCCAGTGGCTCAATTTGGTATGCAGATTATTTATTACTGCTGCTATCAGGCATGAGAAATACTATAACCTCGCTCTTGGAACTCTCAGAGTATTGAGATTTCATGGATGACCCTTAAAAACAGTGCATTGCTTTATCAATGGAGTAACATGACAGAATATCATCAGGAGACAACAAATATGAAAATTCTAGTTTGGAGTCATGTCTCACATGAAAATGGCAATAACTGCAGCAGATAATACTAGTATCCACCTAGTCCAGTGTCTTGATTCAGACAGCAGCCAATACTAGCTGCTTAAGAGGAGAGCACGAGAAGCTTCAAAGGAGAAGAAAGATCCCTCCTAGAGAAATTTTATTTAATGAGCTATAATACTCCTTTTATGCATCAAATGGAGGAATGATTTCCTTTCCAAAAGCCACCTTGTTTGATATTGGGGGTAGGGGGAGGGTGGAACAGGTGGATGGACAACCCTGTATAATACAATTTTTTAAAAACTGCAAAAGTAAAATCTTATTTTAGCTCCTTAGCACAGTTCTTGTGACAATGAATTCATAATGTGATTTTGTCTCCTGTTGATTTGCCAGTTTCAGGATTTACTGTCTGAATATATTGAACAGTCAAAACTTTTTAAATCTCTCTATTTCATAGAATAACTTAGATTGGAAAGGACCTCTGAAGGTCGTCTGGTCCATCACCAAGACCAAATTAAACTAGGCTGCTCAGATTGTTGCCTAAGTCTCAAATAATCCTTTTTTTTTTTTTTTTTTTTTTTTGGAGACCATTTCCAAACTTTTTCTCCATCTTACCTTTTATGAATGGGTTAAATGGTAGCAACCACAGTATTCCAGCCTCTCCTTATAAGTGTTATATGCTTACTATGTCCGTTCTGCTTGTGCCATCTTTTCTTTGATATCCTGAGGTTTTATTTGTGATTTTTGAGTGTTGCTATCCTTTTGACACTGGCTGTCTTTTAGTAGTTCACAAGGACATCCAGGCAACCTCCTGAGCTGATCAGGCAATTCAGAACTCAGCCCAATGCACAAAGGAGTCCAATACTGCCTGCAGTGTATACTTCATTGCAATCTACAGTAATGACTGTGATCTGCTAAAGCAGATTTACTGCTTATCTCTCAAACCCCTAATAATCTTAAATCAGGACTAATATGAATAATTTCTTGCCATCTGTAGATTTTACCCTCTCGGTGTGCTTCATGTTTCCATTTAATTTTGAAATACGAAGTACAAACCATGAGATATCTGCTGTTAACCCTGTCATCAGATGAGAATCAATAGGTATACCTTCTTTGCTTTTGCTCTCTTAACATCACACTTCATAGGTGGACTCCCATGAGGCTCTTGTAAAGGTTTTGAAAGTCTGATTTTCTTTACTTGCTCTTACCTGTCCACTACTTTATAAACTTATTTAGAAAGTAGTGATCTTACTTTGATGCATTTATGCATCCTTTCAGCCAGGTTACCAGGTATAGTAATAAAGCTTGGAGCAATACAGTCTCCTGAATCAACCTTACTGTTTTTGTAAAGATAGGTGTAACTTTTGTTGTCTTCTGATTCTTTAAGATACTAAGTGTAATGAAAGGCATACTCATTTTCACCAGTGGCTCAATTTCTTTAATTGCTCCTCAGAATTTTTGTCTTCTGGTTGTTTCTTTGTAAGATATCATCCGTGTCCAACACATTTGTTTCTGCTAGCAAGTATTTAAACCTTGCTATTAGTTCACGTCTATTAAAAATAAGATACAGAAAAATAAAAGCAGGTACCAGCATAAGTTTCTCCCCAGCATCCTCTGTGGTGAAGGTGGATGAAAAGAAGTAATCTTGCTTCCCCTCCCTAACTTTTGTCTTCCTCATTTTCTTTCATCCCCAGTGATCCAGGACTGCCCACATATTTTCATTTTTTTTGATACCATAAAGGAATTTGTGGCTTTTGTTTTATATCCTTAGATATTTGCTCTTTGGATTCCATCTCTGTTCCCCTAATTTTCCTCTTGTACAGCCTATGTTTAGGCTTTGTTTTATTGCCTTCACTGAGGTTGGTTTCTTTTATTTGGAAGGTTTAAATTTTTTAATTTTTTTTTTTTCTTTGAGTGATTCTTCATCTCTTAACATGTAGGTATATTGGTTTCTCATTTCCTGCTTTTTCTCTTTGTTAAGAAGTTATTTCACTTTTTTTTGGTTTGGGACCAAGTTAATCACTAAAGTGAAAATCACCATAAAAGAGAGGAGCCCTTGTTTCCCAAAATCCACATCACCATGTATGTTGTACTGTCAAGTGAATCTTCTGTTTTTCAGTCTTAGAAAGTGGAAGAAAGCTTAACCTAGTGCTGTCACTTATAAAAAAATTTTAGGTCTAAGAGCCTACAAAATCAAGCACAGTCTTTCAGTCTGTGGTTTGCTGATCTAGTGGCCCTGCCCAAAGCGGATGAAATCGTGAAAAGGCCAGACAAAATCACATTAAGAGAAATTATAGCCTTAACCTTCCCCATGACACCCAAGGTCTCCCTCCTTGGGATGTTCCTGCATGTGTTATACCACTGATGGATTACTGTAACAAGCTCTATTCCCACTTGATTTTAGCTGCCACAAATCAAAGAGTTAGGACATGGAAGCCATCCAAGCTGCCCTCTTCAAGGGAATGTTCACAGACGAGGCAAAATCTTGGTTTAGGAAAGCTGACAGGAAAGGAGAACTAATATTTCACTGTGGATTAGGCTGTATTTTGAGCTCCATTTTGTCTACAAACATCTTTCAGAAACCACAAAGGCTAAACAATTTCCATCCTGCAGATAAACAGAGATGCCCCTTCCCCTGAAATGTACATCATATGAGAATTTCCTGAGCCTTAGTTCATAAAAAAAAAACCATAAAGAAAACAGGCTGCCTCATCAGAAAGGAGTTAGAAAGACCAGAAACAAAATGGTATGGTTATTGCAAAATTTGTGGTTTTCTGTTGAAGGACTGAAGTCATAAATGGCAAAAAAAAGGCAGACACAAGTGAAAAGATGACCAAAAAATAGAATTCTAGATAAATAAAAGTATTCATAGTTGTATGAAAATATATAAGATCATGCAGGGCCACTGATTGTTTAGAGTTCCATGATTAAAAGCACTTGCCTTATTTTTTTTCTCTACTTTAAAAAAAAAAAAACAAACATATTTTCAGTTGTTTTTTTCACTGGAGTTGTACTAGAACTGATGTACCTAATACTGCAGTAGACCCCCAGATTTCTGCAGTTAAACTCAGTATTTTTCCTAGAAGTTTCCTTACCAGTATGGCAAGGAGGGGTTGCGTCAGCACTAGTATCTTCTCTGTTAGTGAATAAAAAATGTATTCTTATTAAAAATGTTCATCTTCTTTCTCATTCCCATAAATATTTTTCCCCATGCATCTGAAAACTGGCCAGATCCATCGAGTAAACTAGTAATTGTCCTCCTAAAAGAGGAGAAAAGGACAATTACTGTATCAATTGCTGCATCAAGAGAAGCGTGGCCAGCAGGTCAGGGGAGGTGATTCTGCCCCTGTATTCTGCTCTCGTAAGGCCCCACCTGGAGTACTGAGTCCAATTCTGGAGCCCCCAACACAAGGGAGACCTGGAGCAGCTAGAACAAGTCCAGAGGAGGCCACCAGGATGATGTGAGGGCTGGAGCACCTCTCCTATGAGGACAGGCTGAGAGAGTTGGGGCTGTTCAGCCTGGAGAAGAGAAGGCTTCAGGGAGATCTTATAGCGGCCTTCCAATACCTGAAGGGGGCCTACAAGAAAGCTGGGGAGGGACTTTTCATAAGGGCAATTAATGACAGAACAAGGGGAAATGGCTTTAAGCTGAAAGAGGGTAGGTTTAGATTAGATATTAGGAAGAACTTATTTACTGTGAGGGTGGTGAGACACTGGAACAGGTTGCCCAGTGAAGTTGTAGATGCCCCCTCCCTGGAAGTGTTCAAGGCCAGGTTGGATGAGGCTTTGAGCAACCTGGTCTAGTGGAAGGTGTCCCTGCTGATGGCAGTGGGGTTGGAACTAGATGATCTTTAAGGTCCCTTCCAACCCAGACCATTCTATGATTCTAATTTTATTTTACTTACAAGATGCCAAACTTCTGGCTCATTTTTAACCCCTGCAGCAAGACACTTTGATTAGTTGTGGATACTGGGCAGCTTTTAAAAATAAGCAGTAGGACATGTTAACAATGCAGGGGAGGGGGCAAGGATTGCTGGTAGGAAAGAACTTGGAAGGAGACTAGGCAGGGCAGAAGGAAGCCTGCAGCCGCCCTGTGAGGGAGAAAGGAGGTGGCTGAAACAGAAGTGCCATTCTGGAATGCTGGAGCTTCTGCTTGATGTGCTGGAAAGCAGAGAGAGGAGAAAAGAAAAAAAAAAAAGTAGGTAAGATCATGATGTCTCT